TGATCATCGGGACATCACTGCTCGACACGTTAGAAGTACACCCTGTCAAACTGTATATAAGAGCCAGAGGAAACGCCAAGAGTCTTTTAGTTTTATGGCCAAGTATCCGTTCTATTGATGTTACCGCTTTTACAGGTTTGACTGTATCACCTGTCTGCGAAGTAGCTATGTAGTGGCGCCACCTACCATTCGTCCGGCGACGGCAGAGGCACGGCGACGCTGCGACACTGCCACCTCTCTCTCGACGCTGAACCGACGTACATGGCCGCCAGGGGTCAGCACCTCATCGACGTACTTCACGGGGGTGCTCTCCTCATCTGTGGGAGTCGATTCGCACGAAGAACGACCCCCGGGGGCCGGCTCCACGGCGACGCGGTCTTCAGGGGCCATCTCGTGACGTGAAGTCGCAGCCGGTTTCCGCGCCTCACGCTCTCCGGGAGTCAACTCACGCGCGTCACCAAGCTTGCGGGACGCCTCGTGACACGCATGTGACAACGGCTGAGCTGCAGTGACCTTGCCGCTGACCCTGGCGGCGGGCGGGTCGTGATCAGCATCAATGTCATCGGATATCCTGTACGACATAGCAACACCGTTATAGTCACTGCCTAGCTCCGATTCATACGACAGTATTCCCTCATAAAACCTGCTGACCTATATATACGTATTATATATATATTGTAAAAATGTCGAATATTTTGATGATTAAATGAAGGCAACACTTATGACTTATGACTGTACACTTATGACTTATGACTGTACACTTATGACTTATGACTGTACACTTATGACTTATGACTGTACACTTATGACTTATGACTGTACACTTATGACTGTATGACTGTAATCTTTGGCCAGGCCTCAAGAATAAAATATTAGATAGAATGTCCGATCCTTCGCGCGTTGTTCAACCAGCATCATCGCTTACCTGTAGCCGAAGAACGTGATTGGAGTGCAGCCTTGATGCCGCCGCTCCCCGCTGCTGCTGCTGCATTGGAACGCAGCCTTGATGCCGCCGCTCCCCGCTGCTGCTGCTGCCTGCCTCGCCGTGCGCCTCAGCTGTCTCGACATGAGTCTCGCTTGTCTCAACGCGGCCCTCATTGTTGTCGTGAGTCTCGCTTGTCTCAACGCGCGCCTTGCGTGTCTCAACACGACTCTCATTGTCGTGAGTCTTGCGTGTCTCAACGCGCGCCTCATTGTCGTGAGTCTTGCGTGTCTCAACGCGGCCCTCATTGTCGTGAGTCTCGCTTGTCTCAACGCGCGCCTCGCCTGTTTCAACGCGGCCCTTATTGTCGTGAGTCTCGCTTGTCTCAACGCGCGCCTCGCCTGTTTCGTGAGTCTCGCTTGTCTCAACGCGCGCCTCGCCTGTTTCAACGCGGCCCTCATTGTCGTGAGTCTTGCTTGTCTCAACGCGCGCCTCGCCTGTTTCAACACGGCCCTCATTGTCATGAGTCTTGAGTGTCTCGATGTGAGTCTTGCGTGTCTCAACGCGGCCCTCATTGTTGTCGTGAGTCTCGCGTGTCTCAACGCGCGCCTCGCGTGTCTCAACGCGCGCCTCGCGTGTCTCAACGCGCGCCTCGCCTGTCTCAACACGACCCTCATTGTCGTGAGTCTCGCGTGTCTCAACGCGTGCCTCCGCCGTCTCGCCGTGAGCCGCGCCTGTCTCGCCGTGAGTCTCCTTGCCGTGAGTCTGGTCTGCCTCGACGTGAGCCTCGCGTGTCTCAAGGTGACCTTCGCTGCCGCTCGCCCCGTCCGTCTGCCACGACGCGACAACCATGAGCTGCTGGCCGCCAGGTGTCGCCGCTGCTGCGCCGCCCTCGCGAGTCTCCGTGTTGCCGCGGGCAACGATCGCACCCGCTCTCATCTCCTCCTCCCCAGTAACGACCTGCGGTCAAAAAACGCGCGTGCGGTTAATAAGACATAACTGCATGGATGAGATATGACTCAAAATAACCTCAACTGTGATGGAATCCTCACATCTTTACACACATGTACAGCCTGGGTAGAAAGTAACTTTTGAAGAAGCGAGTCCCTACCCTCAAAAAGATGGAGTTCGCAGCAAAATGAAGAATTCTACTCACCGTGAGAGACGCAGGTCGTGTGACCTTCGCCAATGAAGACTGCGTCGGAGGTCGGGCGGGCTGCTGCTGCAGTCCTGGGAACAGCGAATCAGGATGCTCGATGAAGCTGCACACGATTTGATTGGCCAAATGCTGTTCCTTGAGACCGTCCAGCCCGACCGAACACCTGAAAAAGACAACGCAGATGAAAAACGACCCAGACGAACAACTATACGTGATGAACACTGAAGTAGGTGCCTTAAGGAAACAAACACTCAAGCTTTTATGCAGTTTTACTGGTTTTTCATTTTCATTCATATTCGATGGCCAACACTAGTTGCCACCACTGTACATGCTTATTACCTCCGCCCAACAGAGTTGGAGGGCAGAGGTTATGTGATCGGTCTCGTGCGTTCGTGTGTTAGTGTGTTTGTGTGTTAGCGTGTGTGTTCGTGTAGCCAGCAGCAGGCCAGTCAGTGTTAGTGTGTTAGTGTGTTGGCGCGATCGATATTAGCGCGTCCAGTCGAGCGTTTACATGTGAGCGAGCAGCAGCAACGAGCGGCTGCTACGAGCTATGTCGCTGGCGGAGGCATGCACTCTCCGCGAGTGCCCTCTGTCTAGTTTCTCCATATAACGATGCATGTGAACTTTCACGTGAGCTTTCATTTGTGAGCGTTTCGATTGCGCGTGTACGTGTGTAGTGAGTAGCGAGTGTGATAGAGTGTGTGTGTGTGTGTAGTGGTGACGTCAGAGACATGATACAACCAGAATTTTCAAGGTATTCATTATGCCAGGATCCATCGGCATCAACGCTTCTACAGCTGTCATGTGCCAGTGATAGTTAAATTGTTGCGCAGCCGAAAATAGCTTTTACACTTTGTTACCAGTGAAAAAAATACACGGGGGCTCAAGGCGATTGCCAAAAAGAGCGCCGGAAATGCCAAAAAGAGCCCCCGTAAATTTGCATAGAGTTCAATGCAAACCAAATTTTAGAGTGCTATTTTCATGCACGCGAGCTTGAAAAGTAGCCCCCGAAAAATTTAATTTTAATTTTTTCCCTGTTTGTTACATAGCCTTACATATATGCCCGGGTTTATTGACACACAGCTTAGTGGCGTCACGTTCATGACTTTAAATTCTTATTTCCGTTTACACGCTACGCGAAAATCCTCATTAAATAACCAAACGTTCGTCATCACCATCGGTAAAGAAAAAAGAAGCCGATCGTTTGTTCGCTCACCGGAACACGTTCGGACCGAACACAATGGCGAGCGCGGTGGCTGACATCTTGTTTGTTGCCTCGTGTTGAGCGACCTCTAGCAGGAACGCGACGAGGTATTCCAGCAGACAATAGTTCTCCACCGGGAGCAGACGCACGAGGTTCCGGCACACGTCGACGCTGCTCGCTAGCTCCCCCTGGTTGACGGCTGCAGAAGCACAACACAGACATGGTTCGTACAAGAGGACTAAAAAAATTTTCAAAGATTTTTCAAGGACATTTTATCGGAAATTCAGGGACATTTTATCGGACATTTTATCGGAAATTTACTACACAGGTCTCTCTCTCTCTCTCTCTCCTTCTACACAGGTCTCTCTCTCTCTCTCCTACACAGGTCTCTCTCTCTCCTTCTACACAGGTCTCTCTCTCTCTCTCTCCTTCTACACAGGTCTCTCTCTCTCCTTCTACACAGGTCTCTCTCTCTCTCTCTCTCCTGCGCAGGTCGGTCGTCGGTGGGCTGGCGGTCGTCCTACCACAGCAGTCTGAGGGTCTCGTCGTCTCTCTCTCCCTACACAGGTCTCTCTCTCTCCTCTCGCTACACAGTCTCACTCTCCTCACACAGGTCTCTCTCTCGTCTCCTTCTACACAGGGTCTCTCTCTCTCTCCTTCTACACAGTGTCTCTCCCCTTCTACACAGTCCTCTCTGCCTTCTAGCACAGTCTCTCTCTCTCGTCTCCTTCGTACACAGGGTCTCTCTCTCTCTCCTACACAGTGGTCTTCTCTCTCTCTCTCTCCTCTACAAGGGGTCTCGCCCTATCTTCTCACTTCTACAACAGGTCTCTCTCTGCTCCTTGCTAGCACAGGGTCTCTTCTCTCTCTAACACAGGTTCTCTCTCTCTCTCTTCCTTCTCAACAGGTCTCTCTCTCTCCTCTACACAGTCTGCTCTCCTCTCTCTCCTCTCTTCCTTCTACACAAGGTTCTCTCTCTCCTGATCTACACAGTCTCCTCTCTCTTCTCTCTCTCTCCTTCTACACAGGTCTCTCTCTCTCTCCTTTCTACACAGGTCTCTCTTCTCTCTCTTCTACACAGGTCTCTCTCTCTCTCGCTACACAGGTTGAGTCTCTCTCTCTCAGTTCTACACATGTCTCTCCTCTCTCTTCTCTCTCCTCTACACGAGGTCTCTCTCTCTCTCCTCCTCCTACACAGTCTCTCTCTCGTCTCTCTCCCTAGCACATGGTCTCTCTCTCTCTTCCTACACAGGCGTCTCTCTCTCTCTCGACTACAACAGGTCTCTGCGCTCTGCTCTTCTACACAGTCTCTCTCGTCTTCGTCTCTCTCCACAAAGTCTCTCTCTCTGCTCTCCTACACAGTCGTCTCTCTCTCTCTTATCTACACAGGGTCTCTCTCTCTCTCTATCTCCTACACAGGTCTTCTCCTCCTCTCCTACACAGGTCTCTCTCTCTCTCTCCTACACAGGTCTCTCTTCTTCTCTCGGTACACGAGCGGGGATGGTGGGGGTCTCGTCTCTCGTCTCTTCTACACGCTCTGCTCATGCTCTCTCTTTACACATCTCTCTGCTCTCTCTCCTACACATCTCTCTCTCTCTCTCCTACACAGTCTCTCTCTCTCTCCTTCTACACAGGTCTCTCTCTCTCTCCTTCTACACAGGTCTCTCTCTCTCTCTCCTTCTACACAGGTCTCTCTCTCTCTCCTTCTACACAGGTCTCTCTCTCTCCCCCCCATACACAGGTCTTCTCTCCTCTTTCTCCTACAACAGGTCTCTCTCTCTCTCCTTCTACACAGGTCTCTCTCTCTCTCCTTCTACACAGGTCTCTCTCTGCTCCTACACAGGTCTCTCTCTCTCTCTCCTTCTACACAGGTCTCTCTCTCTCTCTCCTTCTACACAGGTCTCTCTCTCTCTCCTTCTACACAGGTCTCTCTCTCTCTCCTTCTACACAGGTCTCTCTCTCTCTCTCTCCTTCTACACAGGTCTCTCTCTCTCCTTCTACACAGGTCTCGACCGCTGAGGGCGTGTTTCGTAGTCTGCGGTAGCGGCGCCTGCTCGTCGCCGAGAAGAAGAAACTGCTGAAGAGGCAGCTTTTGCGTTCACGGTGACGCGACCTGAAAGCCTGCCTGAGGACGTCTACCAACGGTCGCGACACTGCTGAAGCAGTTCTCGAGAGCTGCCGAGCCTATATGCCGGCCGCTCTACACGCACGCCTTCATACACGCACAGAGCAGCGTGGAGGGGCGGAGGTACGAGCTATAGAGTACCCGAAGATGTGACGTCACGTGACAGTCACGTTAACAATAACTGCGGTTAGAAATGTTGTGGTAGCGTAAAACACGATAGTGTGCGCTGCAGACAGCCGGTAAAGCATCGTAGCAAGTCGATCTTACAATTGTTTAATTAAATAACAAAAAAATTTTAAATTTTTTGTTTTTTCGTTTGCTTTTCACTTCCAGTCCTTTGGAAATCTATAAAAACTGCAATTAATGGACTCTCAGAAATGATGGTTACATCGGGTACAAAACACGACACGCAGTTAATGTTACCAGGAGCATATGATGTGTAGAACCAGTGCGGTTTTTTTTTCGGTTTCATGCCCACCGTGACGTCATCAGCTTCGGGAGCCTCTATTGTCCCTGTTGATTAGCTTCTATCTGTTCTATGCTACCTTACTCTGCATCAAAGTTCTGCAGTCGCCCGCATGCGATGTTCAGAGTTCCATCATGGTTCGCACAGTCCTTTGAAAAGTCCTTGCAATTGATGGGGAGTCCTTGAAAACGACTGAATTTAGTAAATGTTGATTTGTGCTTGAAAAGTCCTGAATTTTCATCGAAAATGTCCTTATTTTTAGGAAAGGAAGTCCTTGCCCTGTAATAAAGAAATTTGTACATCAATAATGCGCAAAACCTCAATAAAAATTTGCTGTTCTTAATGCAGCTTAAAAAGCTAAAGACACGATTAGACGTTAAATCGGATGATCACAAATTACAGTAAGTCAGTAAAATCAGTCAGTTTAGAATCAAGTATGTTGTAGAGTGACAGTGTTTAGAAGGGGTACGCGTTTTGATTAATGTAGATCCAGGGTAAGTTTTAGGTGTGACAGCCGATATAAGAATGGCGATTATTTAAATTAATCCAGCGTATGTTTTTTCTGTGTATGTATT